TAATGAAGTTAGAATTAGTTAGCTAGATTTAGCTTTTAAACAACTTTAATCCTGTCTCTATTGCTCCCAGCCTCAGAAAAAGAATCTCAGGAGACAAAAGTTTAACAAATACCACATGTTAATATACCAAGCTAGCTGGAGATACTTATTCACGGAGTACTGTACCACTAAGAAATCATTATACCCCTAAACAAGCTGGGTAGGCCAGTTCATTAGTGAGCTTCTTTCTTTTTTGCTAGTGTAAAACTGAAGGCATTGTTAACCTGCCACATAGTCCTTAAGAGACAATAAATAGTGCTCACTGCTACAGAGGAAGCAATAAATGTGTCATTCCTGTTAAAGCTGGAATGCCGGTTTGTAATTTTATTTTGTAAATAGTTGAAAGTTTAGCTGCCACCCTGATCTTTCTCTCTCTTTTTAGATTCTTTATGGCCAAAACTAAACACTTGTGTTGACTTTTAGTATCCCCCAATGCATAAAGAACTGGTCTATATTACAAGTAGCTTCTGTGACAGACATGCAAGAACTTAAAGCCCTCTCTGTGGTTTTCTCTCCCCCTCTTCCCCTGCCTGTTTTCCCAAGATAAAGGAAAGCTGTAAAAGCTTATGAGCCCAAAGGGAGCTTTTTTTTTTAAAGTTACTGTTACTTTAAAATACATCTATGGGTATATATTGGCCTGGCATCTGGAAGGCTAGGTGCCTATCTCAGGCACATCAGTACAAATCCTGGATGACTCCACTAAAGTCAATGGAAGTTATCTGGCTGCAACAGAGATCAGGATATGACCCTAAATGTGTTGTTCTGGTATTTTTAAAGCAACAATTGTAAACTGTATATGTTTTTTCTTCTTTTCCGCTCCCCCCTCCCTGCATTTTCAGCCCCCATTAAATCTATTTTTTCACTCTTCACTAGGAAGTATAAGCAAACTTAATAAAAATAATCTTCCCTTCCCGCCACTAAATACCCTTCTCGCAGCTGTACATTCTGACATCCTAAGTATAGTTTTCCCCATTATGGTCTCAAATTCTCTGAACAATGTTTCTTGTAAGAAGGAAATCCAACTGCCCCTAGAGCTTCTTGGATGCCAACTGCTACTCCTTCTGGATGGCTTCAGCAGTCTGCTTCACAGCAAAATCCAGACTGAACTGCATGTGTAAAACCTGGGTCTCTTGCTGCAATGGTACTGAAACATAGACCTGCCAGAAGTTACAGGGGGCTTTATTAACACTGTTGGGTGTTAAGGTGATACGTGATAAGGTATATCATGTATAACATGCTATACACACATGTATGTTATACACATACATAGATGTATGCGTACACACGTAAATATGGACTATAAAATCTTCCTATTCAGATCAGAGCTGCATTTTTTCCCCAGCTGAGGCAATTGTGTAGAATCAGCGCAAATAAGCAGGGCACGTTCGGTTGTGGAAACAGCGCGGAAGGAGAGGTTAGGAAAGTCCAAAGGGATATATAGCTAACTTACCAGTGTTTAACAGATGGCTGTGACTTTGGTGGTATTGCAGGTGAAATTGCAGGCAGAGAGAAATCACTCTCTTCTTTAATTCCTGCGGTTTAATTTACAGGCTTCCGAAATGTTGTTTTTTCATCAAATTTGCCTCATACACCAATATATGACTTCAATATCAATGGATTTGCATACAATAGAAATATAAGAATATAATGCTTTCAGCTTGGACAGTCAATTCACGCAGAATCAACCTTGCAAATTTAACTGATATTTGCAGACCTGCAGTCATTTGTTCATACATTTAATCAAAAGTACAAGAAAATTGGCGCCTTCTGTTGTAAAAAATAATCAGGGTCTGATATTTTCTTTCAAAGTTAGGGAAAGCTCACAAAACATAAGTCAAACGGTATTTTCCTTTAGGGTTACTGTTGCAAACATATTGCAAACCCACGGGAATATCCACAAACCCATTCATGCCAAAGATCATCTGTGGTTTTGCATTGAAATTTGCCCATGAGGAAACTTAGTTCTTTTGAACCTGAATGTTTTCAATTTACAGGGACAAGCAACTTCATGTGAATCCTTTTTAATAAGAAAAAACCACACCACAGTAGACCTTGAAACTCTAATAAACAGGCACCGTGGAAAATGATAGTGTCTTGGCTAAATATTTACACTATCAATAGCTGTATGTGAGGACGAATCCTTTGCAGGAATTCTGTTTGGCCAAGCCCTTGCCTAGCAGTAAGAAAACTGATGGGTGTTTTGGTATGTGAATTTCTCAGTGGGAGAGCTCAGTGATATCTGCCCAAAATGAACACATACAAGTGTGAGATAACGCCTTGGTTCTGTGCCCATCTCTGGCAGATTTGCACTGTGCCTCAGTGCTTCGGAATTTTATATATATATATATATGTTCTGATGTGGGACTATTCTGTGGGACTAATGAGAGCTAGAATGAGACTTTTTGGAGGCTTAAATAGCTCTTACACATTCAGCTTCCTTAGAAAGCCTAAATTGGCTAAGATTATGTAGACTTTTATCCTCTAAAAAAAAGTGGAAGCCTTTGTATAAAACTTTATTCCAGAGCCTTACTGTAAGGTCTGGGGTTTTTTAAGCCAGTTTTACCTCTAGGTAGCCACTGGCAAACATTAGTATCCCTAGATGTATATAAAATACACTCAAAGATGTGTCAGGTTACATTCAGTCTTACCGCATTTGGTTTTATGCAAAATCAGCGGCAGTGCTGAATCAGACAAATAACTCGTTGAGGTGCATCTCCTCACTCCAGCGGTGGCTTCTGAGGAAGGTGAACCTGAGGTGAACACCTAAGCTTCCATTTCTAACTTTCATATGGGGAGGAGGAGAAACAATATGTAGCTCTTGAGAATTGAGTTAATTTTTTAAAAAATGTAATATTACTTCAGGAATGCTCTAGAGCTTATAAAAGTAATCAATTTGCATATAAAATCCTTTAATGTTGATGGGAGCTCCAAGCCTGGAATGAATACGTAATATGCAGTAGTGACGCTCTGGACAAAAGATCTGCAGTGCAGGAGTGTTCAAGGGGAACATTTTGTCTTAAGTAATTAATTTGCAGAAGAGATCCCCTGCTGTTGTTCTTGGTACAATGCTCTCTGCGTTTAAACATCAATCTAACTTCTGAAAAGTAAAATTTGCAAGTAATATTATTTTTAATTTTTAAACATTTTACTGGCAATTAAAGGAATCTTAGTTGTATTACAGTATCCTAGTTCTTGACTTGCATTGGGAAAATACAAGTTTGCATGAATAAAAGCTACGAAGACTTGTATTTTTATAGCTAGAGCTTCATTTTTTGCATATGTTGGGATTGTAGTGCTGAGAGCTTCAACCCCATTTTTAACCATCTGTGACTATGTCTGTGGCTTGTCATAGTTTGCAGGATAATTTGCGAAAATTTGGACTATAACTGGTTGGACTCTGGCCTCATAGAAACAACCTATTCTCAGTGCTATATATAAAATTGTATATTGTAGAAGTAAAATTAACTGAATATTCATAACGTTCTGTTACTTCGTAGTTACTCTGCTGCTCCTGTTTCCAAATAAAACGTGAACTGTAGTCTAAATTAACTCTAAGAGAAATAACATTTTCACAGTGTATCCTGTAGAGTTCTTCATTGATTTTTAACATGTACCACTCTTCTTCAGAAACGTTCTTGGCATTTGGGTTGTGTACTATATTTCAGAGGTACAGTAATTGATGTAAATCATTATTGAAATTTAGATGCCCTTTTGGTACCAGTAATAAGGAATCAGGATGAGTTTCCTTATTTATCTAAGATACACTGAAATGGCTATTAAACTATCAGAGCTCAGCCCTAACTGACTAACATGGGATTCCAGCACCAAAATAAAAAGAAATCTTTTTAGTATACGTTATGGAGTGTTTAAATATTCCATAATCATTTTCTTTTTCCCTTTAGCCAAACCAACAAGTTTATCACTTCCATTGACGCCCGAGTCACCAAAGTAAGTACTAAAAAGTGCAAACATTTATAAAAGGGCGGGGGGTTCAATAGATTTTGGCTACAGCAACTCCATTTCAGCTTGTTTTTATAAATGTGCCCTGTCTTCCAGTGATCCCAAGGGTTCCCCATTTGAGAACAAGAATATTGAACAAACCTTAAGTGTGGAACTCTCTGGAACTGCAGGTGAGAAATGGGGAGTGCTGGCTCTTCCTTTAAGCATGGCTCGTGTGTGTGTTTGTTCATTTTAATATACCACGTGTACACTGAGATCTCGCAGAGGTCTCCAGTAGATTAACTTCAGTGCAGTTTAGCATTGACGTTTCATCCAGTTACCTGAGAAGGAATGTGTTTGAAAATATGGCTCCAAACCTACACAAGAGAGCATAATTTCTGGGAAAATATGAATGAAACCATTTATCTGTTCTACTTCCCCATTTCCCCATAGATTTGTGTACTGCTGAGCACCATCTTTCAAAGACAAACCCCACAGCACAGTGTAATAGATGTTACAGATGGAAAAGTTATGTCATCCAGTCTGTCTCCAGGCCAGTCTAGGGCTGTATGTGTCTGCATGTTTCAGTGCTTTGTCAATTCTAGATTAATATGTCACAAATAACAGCTTTCTCCTCTACCACTGAAAAACTATTCCATACCTTAGAGGTAATTTTTTAAATTGGTATTCATTTTATATTCTTGCTTTCTTTTTATTTCTTCCGTTAGCACACTTCACACAACCTCCCTTTATCCTCCTCCTCCATTCAGATCCCTGGTGTTTGTACCTTTTGAAGATTTGTAGATTTTTTATCATATGCTGGTTTAGTTCATGCATCACCCATTGCACTCATTTAATTCATCTGCTCTTCTTTCCACTAAAGTCAATTCCTTCAGACTCAGATCTGTCTTATTGCTTTCCTCGGAACTCTGTTTTGCCTCTGTTTTCCTGAAGTGTCCAGAAATGAGCACAAGAGCACACGTTGAGCTCCACCTGAGCTATTACCAAGACTGTTTTCTTTCTCAGTTATGTAATATTGAAAAGTAAGAGATGTACTTGGCACGTGTTTCTCTCAGGATAACAGTGAATTATAAATGTGATCTTTGGCATTTTGGGGGACATTGCAAAATATGTCTTCAGGTACCATGAATCAGCTTGGTGCCCCTAAATTTAGTGGCAGCTTTACACGAGAGCAGGCCCAAGCAATAGATTTGTGTATGTACTTGGGCTTTCACCCCCCAATAAACGTATTTCGCTTTTTCAGAAACTTCTTCATTAGTTCAGCATTAAAACATGCACACTTTCCTCTGCCGTGTCCTGAAAGCCTGCAGTCGTAGAATCATTCCTCTCGTGACAAAAGGAAGCATCCTTCCAGTGCACTTTCTTTTTGCAAAACCAACACAAACATGGCAAAATTCACTGTGTGCAGTAGGATAATCTCATTCAGTGCCGGTAGGCCTGAAGCATGGAGAAGCCTCTTTTATCATTACTGGAGAGCACATCTGCACGAGGGTGCCCATTTGTAAGCACACTGGTAAGTCAGTGCTTAGTGCTGCCAACTGAAAGGGGCAGATGAGGTGACTACAGCAGAGTGGTACAAGCAGCCGTTGAAATCACTGAAGGGAGCAATGTTTTCTCCCAGCCAGAAAGTCAGCAGCCTGCTCTTCCCATCAGCTGACTAGACAGAAACTGGGAGTTGGTCTGACCCCTGGATAGTCCTCTAGTATTGCCTCCGTAATGGCAACGGGAATGGTCTTGGTATTACCAGATTCATTCTGCTCTGTCAGCTGTGCACAGAGGAGGAAACAAAACAGCTCTGTAGTTGTCTTAGACAATACAACCAGGAGAACTAGCACATTAAAAAATGCGTCAGAAGCTGTGAAACAGCACAACTGGGTGAATATGTGAACAGGAACGTTGAACTATGAAAACATGATTTTTTTTTCCCCTCTGGAAGTAAATAGAGTCTAGCTAGAAAATAAACTGATGATAATCAGGAAGAAGAAGAGTTGGTGGAGCGTGTGTGGCCAGGGAGTTGGGGAAGCGTTACCAAGCAGTGTACATGATGGTGGCTCTTGGAATTCATGTTGCACTTGCTCTGGTCTTCACAATGCCTGGGGAGGAAGTTCCAGGAGATTGTATTTCATCACTTGGTAGCTTTATTAATCTCTGCCTTCACATACACGTAGATTTTATTTTTATATTCATATACGTATATAAATCTATTAAAAGATGAGTGGTTGTGCATGTCTTAATTTTTAACTCATTTGTATTGCAGTAGTGTCTTGTGTCATGAGTCTGCTTGTGCTGGAAGCAGACAAGTACGTAGCAGAAGCAATCTTGAGTACTGTAGAACTTACAGCCTATGTGAGTAAATCATGGCAGAATTGGGACCCACTTCAGTTAAAAAAAAAAAAAAAGGAAAAAAATAGTGGCAATAGTGATTAATAATACCTTGGAGTTCTTTAGTGAGACCCTGGCAATTCCAAATTATATCCAGATAACCGCATTGCTCATTGTCCTTATATAGGGCAGCTTGCACTGTACAAGCACTATTTATTATAATTTAAATAGGAGTTGCCTTGATCTCACTGCCGAATTGAAAAGACCATTAGCAGTGCTGCTCGCACTATCGAAGCACAAAGTATTTTAATATAAATAGCAGCTCTCTTGATCTCTCTGCTGAAAACAACATTGGTTCCCTCACTGATGAATTAACTATAGAGTAGAAAAATAAATAAATAAAAGCATTTCCCACATGAGCCATCAATCTTCGTCACACACACATTTTGGATTCATGTATCTAAAGTCAAACTGAAACCGTTCTCTTGCTGATGCTGTATCTTGCTTTACAACGGATTTGTTAGTAGTCGTGAATGTAACTTTGTCCTCCCTAAAACTGTCAAAACATTGATTTGTCAAATTACAAGGAACAAATATTTTTTTTAAGTACTTTCAAGCCACACATAAGAATTCTTTGAATGCACTTTAAATAAGTGGCCTATGATAGAGGAATAAGTCCATTGCTATATAAAATCCCAACTCCTGCAACTGATTTCTAGTGCTGTTCTAAGGAAAATGGACCAGAACATCACGATATGGAGGAAGTCCTAGGTGATGATAATGTAGTGGATGAAAGTTCTGTGTAAGGCGAGTCTCATTCTGAGTAAGAGGCTCGCAAGATGTCCTTCTCCCGTTGTTTCCACAGCTAGCAGTATTGCCAATGCCTTGCTAAGAGGCTGTGGGCTTGGAACTTCTCTGATGTCTTCCAGGAACATGGGGCGTTTCTGTGTCACTGTAAGACCTCATTCCTCCTTGTTACCTGTCAGGTTGAGGGGGCACCTGCAGGCGCAGGGACTAGGAGGATGATTCACCCTCTGGAGGTGTCTCTGTTTCCCTTGGTGATCAAGGGGTCCTCAATGATTGTCTTAGACTTTCTGCTGAACTTCTAAATGCCAGAAGTTAGATGGCGTGGCTCCTAAATGTTTGAAATTCAGCTCTCGCTGTTCTCTCAGTGTCTTTTTAAACCTTCACTCCTAAATACTCAAAGACATCACGTAAGTGCATGAAGTGAGTTTACAAGCTTAAGGCTCGATCAGTAACTGGAAGGCGATTTCCACCCTCTTATCTACAACAGGTGACTTGGTGAAAAGTCTCTCATTTGCACACAGATCCCTGTAATTTACCTGAGCATAACACTCCTCACCAGTCTTTCTTGGGTGCAAAATTTGATTTCTCCAAAAGATGACAGAAAAGGCTGTATGAACACAATCAGCTTGAGTAGTGATTTGGAATTCATGAGCATCCTTGAGGTTACTTACACCTTGCTATTTGCCCACCTCTAGATTTGTGTTGCCTCTTAGTTGCCAGAACAAATACTTAAAATCTATCATATAAGAACTTGTTTGACCTCAGAATGATTTCTGATAAAATGAGAGATGAGATGCAGAGAGTTGTCCAGGGGGAATAAAATCTAGTAAATTATTTGATATTTTCATGCGTCTGTGTTTATCCTCTGCAGCACTGACAGCAGGATTAAACTGAATACTCAACAAGCATGTACTTTTTTATTATATGATGGCTATTTAATGTTATTATATTTTCCTGGCTTCTGCAATCTTGTGCCACACAAAAGCTCTTCTGATTCTTTTACTGAATTGAACTGTTATCTTGTGTTCAGTGTTTTAAGTGTCCTTAAATAATGTTTCCCTTGACAATCCATTTTCAAACTTAAAAGGTATAAAAGAATTCATTTTCAATGCCTCTCAAAAGCCCAGTGCACATGTAGAAAGGTTCCAGGGCTGCGTTCCCCAAAAGACACTAATTCTCAGCCCCCTCAAAGCACAACAAACATCATCAAACATTTAAATGCTAACAGTTACAGTAGAGTTTTAGAAAGATCGGTGTCTATGTAAAACAGCATTGCAAATCAGTCCTAACCAGTCAAGATGTCACATTTTATGCAAAGGCCCTCCCCTAATTTCTGTTTATCAACCTAGCTGAATTAAATGAGTTTATAAGGGTTTTCTTAGTGAAGTTTTGGAATGTATCAAAAGTAGTTTCACTCTCCCAGGGACTTTCTTGAAAGAAGTTGCTCGGCCAAGGTGGCAGGGTCGTCACATGCAGACACCTTTTGTTGCACAGACATGGGGAGGGCGGTGCTGCTTTGGCAGCAGCGCTGGCAAATTGATGTACGCTGTTTTCAAGCACAAGATCACCGAGTGCATTCGTAGTATATAGACAGAGCAAGGCAAAGTGCAAACGTACCATTTACCGAAGCCATTCAATTAAAGAAAAGTCCCTACAAAGAAAATGGTTTTATAGCATGTCATGAAAAAATACTTGCCTTTTACTTTAAAAAGAAAAAAGACTGTTTAAGGGGGATGATTGTAGAGTATGTACCACTTCTAACAGATTTGCTGTGCAGAAGTACATAAGTGTGAGTGATGTAGAGGTACTTGTTTATTATAGAGCACATTTCAATGCAGTAATCATAAATATTGCTAAGGTTGTGCTCTGTTGAAATATGACCTACATACTCTTGATTGTTTGTGTTACGTGATTTGTCTGACACCCATTACATTCTGGGTAATGGCAGCCATTTGTTGCTGTGCACAGCAGGCTCTTTTGACAAAAGAAAATAGGCAGCAATAAAAAAGCTATAGTCTGAATTACATTCTGCACAGTGCTGCACTGCTGAGAGTTTGTGCAAGTGTGTTAACAATGCTCTGAACTGCCTCTTGTCAGCCTTCAGCCCGTAATGGCCATCTGTCCTTCCATAAATCTGTCAAAACCTGCTAAGTTCAAGAGAGAGCACAGAATATACCTTGTACTGTCAACGCTAAAATGTACATATTGGCGGAGAAATCGGCGCGTGTGAAATAATCCAACGGTTATAGAATGTTGTAACGCCGTTGATGTGGGATCATGGCCCTCGGTGAAGATTACCAGGGATTAGCGTGAAGATGAGCAAGTGTGCAGCCAACTGGTTTTCTCAAAGTTCACAGTTTGGAGACTGGTCATGAGACACGCTGAAGGTGGACTCTGTAGCAGTGACATGAATTCAAAACTTCACTCCCTCCTCTATCCCCCGATGGAGGAGTGTTCAAAAGTTAAATGAACATTTTCCAACTTTTATCCGTTTCTCCTTGCCTGTGCACTTCCTGCTCCTGCTTCTGCTGAAAACGAGGAAAAAAGCCAAAATGCCACGAGGAAGCCCTTTCTTAGGCTGTCCCCAGCACAGTTCTGCCAGCAAGAGAAGTGCCAGTAAATTTAGCTCAGTCTGTACTTTTGCGAGGGCTTTTTTGGTAGGGTTTTTTTTATCCCCTCCTCTAAAGATTGTTGGACTCCTTGTCGGTCTACTGGAAATCGTTGTGCTCTGTGTTTAGCTTGCTTCCTGCCGGCGCTAGCTTTAAAGTGAAAATGGAAACAGTATTTTATTTTGAATATTGGATTATCGCTGGGGTTTCTTTGCCTGAAATTCTTAAATATGCATGTTCATTGTGGGGTGGTTGTATTTCTGCTTCATTCTTTCTTTAAAACTACATCCAAAAAACCTGTAACTAACCCCAGAGCTTCTCATGGGCTGTACAATTTCATGAGTAAAAGTGACAGTTCTGAATTTTTTATCTAGAAAACAGTCTTTGCTTACTCAAATCTTTGTTGAATCTGAGCCTGAAGTTTTAACCTGGAAATTATTACTGCAGAATTTTAAAGAGGACCGTTCTCTTCATTTTACCAAAAATTCATGTGGTAGTCAAAAATTTTTGTTATTGAGGAGGTGGATAAGGTGTGAAATACATACTGCTGAGTCAAGTGAATTTTTGGGAAGGAAGAAAAAAACTGAGGACTCAAAGGAAATAGGTTAACAATGATGACTTTGCACAAAACTTTTTCACTATTAAATTCAAATTTGAGGCAACTAGAGTTTTAGGTGTCATTATCTTTGCCTCAGTTTCCCTGATTTTTGTGTCACGAGGCAAAGTCTTCACATAGCCATGGGTAGCTCATAAACATTTTTTCCGAATGTTCAGAGAAAATCAAGCTTCTCTCTCACATCAAGTATTCATGCCTTGGTACTCCTATCTTTTTTTCTGGAACAAATTCATTGCAGCTAATGCAATGGGACTCCCAGTCTCCATTTATGCTCCTTAGGGAGCACTATGCATTGATGGACGCTTTTCTTCTTTACAGCAAAACACTATAAAACATGTTCCATTTGCATTGATCTGCTGAGCTCTGTTGCATGGTTAAAAATACAAAACAAAACTCTATAGCCATGTTTGAAATACACATTTCCTGTAAGTGTGTCTGCCCTCTCTTTTCATTCTTGTGAAGGAAGTAATGGAAAGCTCATTGCTTGGGCGAGAAGAAGAAATCTTGGGCAGCATCAGCCTCTGAAGCATTTAAGGATGGATTGGATTAGCTAGGAGAACTCCCTAATCTCAGTGTAATTTGTTTAGTTTTAAGCATATATACTTCTAAATTACACTAGGGTCAATTGGACAGAAGCAAATTTTCCAAACATAGCATACTAAGTACCTTCCTGAAGAGTAATTATTTCCTGAAAAATGGCTGCAGTTTGCTGTTACTCTGCCCTGGTGCCCTGGGTTATCCCTTTGTAAAGTCTGAAGAAATTCTATCATTTCTACAGAAAATATTGAGAGTTATGGTCTACCCTTATAAAAACAATTGGAAGATGCTGTTTTGGTTCCCAGGTTTTACTGGAATGGGCTGTAGTCCTTCCTGCAATTTTGTCTCACCACAGTAATATAATCTATTACAGTTACGTGAACAATCCTGGTAGTTAGTGGTATCTTTGAATATTTACCTGTTTCCTTTCAATTCCCTGCTTCATGGCTCTCACTAATATTTAGTTCTAAATGCAATGGTTTATTACAGTTGCAGTTGTCCTGTTGTTCACTTGGGTTTCTGTTGCAGAACCACATTTCAGGCAAAATGTATTAGTTATGCTTACAAGAATGTATTATAGATACATTAGCAATGGTTTACTAAGTTAATGAACTGTGGAGACAAAGAGTCATTGCAGTCGAGTTGTAGAGTTGCTGTACTCTTGCATTCAAGTTCTACGTCCTACCGAGGTTCCTTTGGTAGCACTCATTTATTTTTCTCAGGCTTGCTTTTATTCAGGTTTTTGTCTGCTAATTTCTTTAGGTTTTTGACAGTGCCAGTCTTTTGACTTGTGATTTTTATATCAAAATCTTTTTGATTTTTAAGAAAAAAGTCTTTTGGTTTTTATCTCTTGATCTTTTCTATCAGAATCTACAGAGAGAGGCGGATGTCATGGAAGAAGGGGAGGGGCAGAAATGATGCTGAAGATTAGTGGCAATGCATTAGTACTGTTGCTATTGTTCTTACCAGACCTTTGGTGTCTCACACCTTAAATACTCTTATTCCCAGTATTAGCAGTGTTAAATTAAAGTGAGGTAGAATGGGTCTTGCTTTGTATCTGTTTTAAAGAAGCACATGAGCCATCTTTATAAATGTTGTATATGTGCTTAAAAATATTCTGTTCCTCCTTTTTTTCCCCTTAGGCCTAACTCCACCTACGACCCCTCCTCATAAAGCCAACCAGGATAATCCTTTTAGGACTTCACCTAAGCTGAAGTCATCATGCAAGACTGTTGTACCACCTTCAAAAAAGCCCCGCTATAGTGAGTCTTCCGGTTCTCAAGGAAATAACCCAATCAAGAAGGGTCCAGAACAGTCTGAGCTGTACGCACAGCTTAGCAAGACTACAGTACTGTCCAGTGGACATGAGGAGAGAAAGACAAAACGGCCCAGTTTGCGGCTGTTTGGTGACCATGACTACTGTCAATCTGTGAATTCAAAATCGGAAATACACATTAAAATATCCCAGGAACTTCAGGACTCCAGACAACTAGAATTTAAGGATTCTTCACCTGGGTGGCAGTGTCAGATTTGTTCTTCTTTAGAACAAGACCAGTATTTCAAGAAAGAGACTTTACAGACAAGTAAGCAGGGTTCCCATGGTAATAACAGAAAACAGCTCCAAGACCAGGAAATTCGGGCTGAACTGAACAAGCATTTTGGTCACCCCAGCCAAGCTGTTTTTGATGAAGAAGCAGATAAGAACAGAGAATTAAGGGACAGTGATTACAGTAATGAACAATTCTCCAAACTACCTATGTTTATAAATTCAGGACTAGCAATGGATGGTCTCTTTGATGACAGTGAAGATGAAAGTGATAAACTATGCTACCCTTGGGATGGGACACAAGCCTATTCATTATTTGATGTATCGCCTTCTTGCTCTTCTTTTAACTCTCCATGCAGAGATTCAGTGTCTCCACCCAAATCCTTATTTTCTCAAAGATCCCAAAGGACACGCTCTAGATCAAGGTCCTTTCCTCAACGCAGGTCTTGTTCCCGTTCTCCATATTCCCGATCGAGATCAAGGTCTCCCTGTAGTAGATCCTCTTCAAGGTACGGTACAGCAAATTCATGCATCATCATTGTAGTTAATAAGAAGGAAAACAGCAAAAACATAAAGCAACTTAAAGGAAAGAAAGAAAAAACCAAGACATAACTTAATCCAGTGCAACTCATTCTGTTGCTCCTGAGCTGATTAACTCTGAAGGTTACGGGGTTGCTACAGAAACACTTGTTGCCATTATCCTTTAAATCTGCCAAGTTTACACTTTCTGAGTGGAGCCAGTCAGGTCAGCAGCAGAGCAATTGGTGAGAGATGTACAAAACTAACCTTTCCCATTATCTGTGAGCTGCCCGGTGCCAATCTAGCTGCAGTCCCTATCTGATGAAGTTGACAGTGGCTGACTCTCTGCTCTGTGTTAGCCTCAATAAGGAACATTACGGAAGGGCGGGGGGGGGGAAACACTTGAGGCCCCTTAGTTGACTAGGAGCTTCCCTGTGCGGGTGATTAGCCAGAAAGGGGGGGGGGGGGGGGGGGGGGGGGGGGGGAAACACTTGAGGCCCCTTAGTTGACTAGGAGATCACAAACTGTCACTGGAAAATCTCACTGGTAGCTTAGAAAAAATTGTAAGTTGGGGGAAGAGGTAGAAAATGGTGTCAATAGATTCAAACTGAATGACAGAGGTGAATGTGTTTCTTCCTGCAGATCTTGTTGCTATTATGAGTCCAGCCACTGTAGACACCGAGCATACAGAAGTTCTCCCTTACGTGCAAGATCGCGATCCAGATCACCGTACAGTCGCAGACCCAGGTAGTGCATTTTGCCTGCATTTGGTTTGCTTTGCAGCTGGTTCTCAAGAGATAATGAAGCATTCCAGAAATTGTATTACTAATTTTACATTCACAAATGCAGGTGCTTGATTTAATGACTAAGTTATGTTTCCTAGATATGACAGCTATGAGGAATATCAGCATGAAAGGCTGAAGAGGGAAGAATACCGCAAAGAGTATGAAAAACGGGAATCTGAAAGGGCCAAACAAAGGGAGAGACAGAGGCAGAAAGCAATTGTAAGCACTGTGAAGATAACTTTCATTTTGAAATAGATTTCTCTTTCTTTTCATAGATTTCTAAAGCTAGAACTCAGACTTTATTTTCTTTCTTTTCTATAAAAGAAAAAACAAAATACAAAAATCTGCTTACATGTATTTCTTAGTATTTCGAATTTTACGCAAATATGTGTTTTCATAACTATTTGTGGTTTTGATGTTACAATACTAATTTTTTCAGGTTCTATAAATTGCAACTTTTCAAGTTTTTCACAGTCAACAGATACAGAGGGCTTACTAGAAAAAGGTTTCATCCCAGAAAACAGACAATTAAAAGTGAACCAGTGTATTTCTTATACAGATCTGTCAGTGAACCTGCATTTTATACTATATGTCACCTACCAGAGTGCCAGTAATCAATGTCTATTTTCTGTATTTCTGGTTTTTTACATAAGCAATAGAAGGAGTCAGCCTACATACTGATCGCTGGACTTTCATAGTAGCTGTAATTGTCTATACAGAGAGTGCAGATAACAGAATTCAAAACTGGGATCCAAAGGCATGACTTTAATTTTTTTTTTTCCTGTCTATGACTCGGTTAATTTTTAAGTTATTTTTAGCAAAATAAATAGTCTGAAGACATGATGCAATTTAAAAATGTCACCTAACACTGGCCCTTTCATAATGAATGTGTATTATTTAATTATTGTGTTCATCAATGTTCTGTGTGAAACAACTGAAATACCTGAGGCAAAGGAAATACCCATGTGGGGATGAGCAGCTCTCTTGGCTGTTGTAGGAGTAGGACAGAAGAATGGCTATTAAATGGACAGGTGGCTTTTGCCCCTTTTTAGTTCCCCGTTGCCAGCTATGTGATGGTTTTGATAAATTAAATTGGGAGCTGCTGTGAATCTGGACTCTTCTTGTAGTTGCTAAGCCCATTTGGTGTCTCACCTTAACATTTTCCGCTTGGTTTTCTGTGTCCTGCTCTTTCTGTTCAGTTGTACCTTCACTGCTGGTCTGGCTGTGCCCTGGCTCTTGCATGAGCTGCTGCAGACTGGGGCACTTCGTCTTCATTTCCAGATTTTCCTGTAGTGCTCTGTCCAGGGCTCACCAAAATGAATAGGTCTTTTTTCCAGTGCCTTTAGTGGACTTTGTATAATAAAAGGTGATTTGTCACATACTCAGCAGCATTTCTCCTAATACACCTACAGAACTGGGAGTGTGTAGAGGTTGGCGGACTGGTGTAGTCTACAGCAACGAGAAGTTCTAGGAGGGAATAGACACCTTGATTTTCTGATTTTTGTCTCTGCTACTGTTGTTCTGAGTGAGCTTCATCAAATCATTTCACTTTTCTTTGCTTCAGGTGCCCTATCTACAAAGTGTGGGTGATAGGTCTGTTTTGTAAAGCATGAGATTTAGAGCTATAACATGCTCTGCTGTGCTGATCTGAAACTCAGTGAAGGCAACGGAATGATTTTGCTTGGCTTCAGACAGGGCTATATTTAAGTCAATTGTTGCAGTTAGTTTTAAAATATCTGGCTTCCATCTGCTTAGAGATGAACACTACCTTCCAGCAACCGTAACTTACACTGGCTGTTCTCTCTTAGATCTAACACAAATTAAGAGATTCAGGTAGACCTCTGTCATGGGTGTATCTTACTCCTTCTCAATTACTGTACCTCACCGCTATAAATAAACATGAATCCTGCTGAGGAGGTAGAAAATTTTATTTAGTTTAAAACAAACAAATATTTGGCAAGTAGCTAATCAACAGAAAAGGAAAAAGGAAAGAAAAGAAACTTTAAAAGCTCCAGATATGCTGCATCATAACTTCCTACATTAAAAATTTTAGACATTTCAAAACCAAGGAATTTATTTTCTTTCTAAAGTGAGCATTGTCATGATAATTAGCTTAATTAATGAAATTATGTATTAATAAACATAAATAAATCAGAACTAAAAAATAAAGATCAATAAACAGAACATGGCAAAAACTTAAAATCCAGTCACCTGTGTAAGAGCTGCAGGAGACGTAGATGAAATCTTGTTAACTCCTTTATCCAAAGTCTATCAACACTTTTACTTCAAAAATCTGTATTGAATCATGCCAGTTTATTCCCTGTGCAAATAAATACGGGTTAGGGGACAGCAGAGAAAGGGAAGCCGTGATCCCATGAAGTCAGTGATAAAATTTGTATTATTTCTAGCATTCTCTGCTCCTCTTCTTACTCCTTTTGTCTTATGGGTCTCCTCTGTGTTGCTCTTTTCTTTCTGGAGGGACTCAACTCATTTATTGTTCAGCCACAAGAATCTCCTCTCTCCTTCCTTGACCTCTTTCTACAGTCCCATAAATTTAGATTTCTTTGCTCCCTGCATTGGGGAATTTTTTTATTTTCTTTCTAGCCCATTCTCGTGCTGCCAGAACTGATTCATGGCCACATACCTCCAGATACTGTTAAAAGAATGGCTCAAAGATTGGGCAGTACTAATGCCTCAGGTGTTACGTAGGGCAGGTGGCTTTTCTTCATGAGAAGCACCATGCTATGATCTCAGGAGTTGGTTGTAGAAAAGATGCACAGTGGAAAGGGAACAGAAGTTATGACTGAGCTAAAAGCCATCAGGTATTATTGGTTCAATATCTAGAATTAGCCTTCATGTGACAACAAGAGTGGGAAACCTAGGAAAAAGAAATGCGAAAAAAAATCACATATTTTAATCTGTCAAAACCATATGTGCAGCAATGGCCTCTGATTGTGGAGGCAGCTTGTATTTTGGCAGACGTGAAGGCATATTGGCAGAATGCTGAGGAGGCTTGTTTTAGAAGCCTGTGCTCATGCTATGTGGTGGAGGCGTGTTTAGAGGGCTGCCCCTTCAGTCTTGCACACAACACCTTCGCTGCAGTAGCTTCAGATCAGCTAGAAGCCTGGGCTAGCATTTCCCTGTATGGATTCCTGAATTCCTACCTAGACTTACAGCTATATACAGGTGGCTTCACTTCAAAAGCTACTGTGGTATTCTTCTCCTCTTCCTTTTCTTCTTTTCCCCTCTCCAGTTACTGGAGATTCAGTGCCTTTTTTGTGGATTGGGGTCTTAATTTTGAGCAGTCACACTTGAATAATATGGGCCGAGCCCACAAGATGTTTTTCAGTTAGAGAGTAAGAAAAATATTTTTGTCATTCATTCATTCATTCGTTCGTTTATACTTTTGATTGTGATGCCTTTGCTAACTGAGCAAATGTTAGCATAGTTTAGTTTGATCTTGACTTGATTTATTTCACTGGGTTCCTATTTTGTTTTAGAATGGGTCCTCATTGAACATAAGGATGGTCTGCCAACAAGACTTACTTAACTTCATAATGCTAACCGCATCATAGTGGAGACACATTCATCATGAAACTTGAGGAGCAACCGCAGGACAGGACAGTCTGCTTAGGGCTATGTAGAAACTGGGATCCAGCCCCCAACCAAGGCAGATCACAGTGATTTGCCAAGAAGACTGAGGACCCCTTTTCTCTTCTGACACACCCCAGGAAATTTCACAGTTATGTGGGCTTTTACTCAGCAGCTCATTAGACCACGCAGCAAATACTTCCCAAGGCATGGCATCAGAAATACAGTTAGCACATTTCAGTTCTGGAGTCACCAGTTCGTGGTTCCCCATTGACATGGTGCACCAGGGCTGGGAGGTTGAACTGTCTGATGAGCAGCCTGGTGTTCTGGATCTCTGCTTCTCCACTGCTCTGGCCACAATTCTGACTTACAGTCATATCCTCCCTGCAGCTCATTTACTGCCTGTGCTGGCTGCTGCCAGGAGGTATAACAAAATCACCTTTTATACCTGAGTAGGAAATTACTATTAACATTACTACTTTTCATTTCTAAGTGCGGACAGCCTCCCTGAGACAAGTATCAAGAGTCCCTGTCCCAGAGAGAGTAAGAAGATAAATGCACTTTGAGACCACTGCAGCGGAAAGAAACACATGGTTTCAAAGAAAATAAATTGATCTACAACAGGAAGGCAGGAGAAAGGTGGTTTCATAAATGAGTGCTTGGCTTCTCTGAAGTCTAAAACCAGAGTCAGTTTATAATGGAGCGCATTTCCACTAATGAAGGATCCAATGTATGTTGTATATTTAGTTTGGATTTTTTTGTCGTTGCTCATCTTGATGGCCTTGATCCCAGGCACTCTAACTTTGCTGTGTGAGTTGCTGAAAATGTATCGAATGGATTACCTAAATCTTGAGGTTTACCGGTCCATTATTTCTCTAGCGGTCATCATGGAGTGTGGCTGAACTGTTTCAGTCCTCAGTTAGCCACACAGAAGCACTTGACAATTTTGTGCAATGTTCTTTCTTTTTTTTTTTTCCATTTTTCATGATTCTTCCTTTTGCCATTCATACTTGCCCACAGGTCACACTGATTCTTCTTTCATACAGAATCTAAAGAAAATTTCTCTTATTACGTCAGAATCTTAAGCTTTAATGGCTTTTTCCATCCATAGCATTTCTATTTTTTAAACTCTGTCCAACCATTCCCATTGCACTTTCAGAACGATATTTGGCTTCCAGCTCTAAGGATAGAAGTCTTCATGGCTTTCTGCTGGACGAGGAGAGAAATCAGTTGGCATGGAAGGCAGCACAGGCCCAGCCACCCGTGCTGGAGGAAGCAGCAGAGCCTTTGACAAGCCCATGGCAGACCCCAGCTTTAAAATGCCCCTGGATTTCTTCTCTCAGCCAGCATTAACTGGCTCTTGGAGAACTAGGTATGCACCACAGATGTGCAGACAAAAAGTGGTAGGGAAAACAGGGACAGCAGCACTGTGCGGTGTTACCTCTGGAGTGGCTGCCTTCAGTTCCCACAGACCCTGCTTAGCAGCACCACGGGCGGCCCAAGCAAACAAGTGTTGGGTGAAGAAGCCTAGTGCAAAAAAAGACGTGAGAACTAATACATCTAATGGTTTGTGCTTTCATTCCTTGTGAAATAAAGGATTAAGAATAAGGAAGGGAAAACAAAATATAGTTTTGGAGGAAGCCTTTACAAGACAAAAAGATTCTTAGCATCAGTGAACGTTTTGCAGGATGAGTGGTCCCTTTATTGACCCTTAGATGTGTAAGGTATATCCTGGTCCTGTTTTCTCAAGTTTTGGCATTCTAATGCTTTAGTATTTTCATTTGAGACTTGAAATACTGCTTGTCAGTCTGAGATTTTCTGCCACATCTGCCTATTCACATGTTTTACTGAAAGGAAGAAAGAGGAAGATTATGAAGAAGGAGCTTTAGATAAACTGAAAAAAGACAGACATGTTGGGCCTGAGGGAGTTGACTGGACTCTTCTTTCTTCCCTTTTTTACCTGGCAAAGCAATGTACTACACTTAAAGCTTATGACGCAAAATAAACCATCTGCACTTTCGGGAGGGAAATATGAACGGTGTCTTCTGGAGTTCCCTGCAGGTTCCCTCTGCCCACATTAAATTGAAAACAAAAGCTTTTCTCTGCCGTTCTCTAGGTTTCCAAGTTATATATCATCTCCTCTAACAAGTGTAGTAAAAAGCATACTTAGTATGCACATATGGACTTATGCATGTAACTTATTATAAAATAAAGGTCTTTAACATTTAGAGGTATGTTGTAATCTTGTTAGGCTTGTATAGCTCTTATTATTAATGGGAATAAAAGGCAGGTGTCTCTGTGAATACAAATACATTCTACATAGTTGGTTTAAATAAACCAAAGTTAACCAAGACAAAGACAATGCTGTATGAATCCTCTGTTCTCCAGTATCTTATACCATCATGGCACTCTACTTAAAAAAATACTTGAACACATCTCCTCATGTGTGCACGTGGAGGACATATGGTGCATTTCAGCTTTAAATTTGAATTTCCTTAATTTTGCAGGTTTAACTTATTCCCTTAATGATAGTTTAACAGGCTTTTTTTTAATTGTTCAGTTTTGTTTTATTACAGTTGTCTTAAAGGGATATTAGCGATATAAAGGTTATTAGAGAGAGAGAAGAAGGAAAAATTGTGCAGGCATGCACACAGACTTATGCAAGAGCGTGCAATAGTTATTTCCGTCACACTGTAATATAACAATCTCCATGTCAGTGAGTGAAACATTATGTTTTTTCAGTCGAGATGTATTATCTCAGCTAAAGTATATTAGACAGTCTGCTATGTTATGTTCTGCTCCATCTGGTCAGTCATTTAGGTTCAATAGCAAGTATCAATGGAATTGTTTCTTATCAAGTGTTTCAGTGCGGTTAAATCCTTGATTTGGTAAAACAGTCTGAAAAAGTAATTACTGTGCATATGCAGATTTTCCTGTTTTTGAAGTTTATGGCACCCAACCATACTGAAAGTAAGCAGAATTAGAATGGGGAAAATGGAAGAAATGCAGATTTCTGTTGCTTGCACTCCACAGTCCCTGCTTTGTAGAAGCCCTGCTCAAATGCCTCTGTCAAGAGGCTCAGGGATCTGGACTGGGATGCAGTAGAGACAGACATAAAAAGCAGGAGCTGTCTGGAAAGTATCCCTCTTCCCTAAATTTATGGCCACCCATGAGCACACTTGTCCTTCTTGTAGCCATGCTGGCTTCTCCAAACTGCACTGCTATGGCAGAGAACAAGGGCACTTTTTGGGCCATGCACTTTGGAAGGCGTAACATTTAAAAATGAAAGTGTCTGTCCCAGCAGGGTTGTAGAGGACTACCAAGGCAGTCACCTTGGTTCCTTATATAATCAAAAGAGGCAGTAGTTTCGAGCATCTAAATGAGATACTTACCTGATGCCATTGATTAAGGAGAGCATATACATACTTTGGTAGAGCAACCAGGGACTCCGCTGGGCTGACCAGGGAGCTGTGAAGGACCCAGGTGGTTCCAGTGATCACTTCTTGTGCCATACCTTAGTGGGTAGGGCTTTTGGGTAGAAGTGTTTGATTCTTGGATCTCTGTTTTCTGGAGCTTTAAACTCACTTTCATTTCTCAGGAGCTTAGATTAACTGGATCTGATCCCCTGAGATTTGTGAGGCCAGAAAAAGTCAGTGAAAGTAGTTGACTGAGTGTGCTAGTGAGAAGGAGTTTCTGTTAGGAAGCAGATATATTAGTTTCAGCTTCCTGCTGCAGGAATTGTTTATTTATTTTGCATTAAGCAGTTCCTGGGAGCAGAGTGCTCTCCTGGAAACAGGGAGCCAAGGTTTTGGGCCTCCATAACTAAGAGTTCTAATGGTCCCTTTATCTCAAATGAATGCTCAAACAAGTAAAGAAGAGGCATCAGGATCATTTCTGTTTCTGCATGTGTTTTAGTCTGATCTCAATCCTATTATCCGTGGTCCAGGAATGACCAGTGCCTTATGCCTCTGTGGGCACTCATGGAGAAGATACATTTCATGCTATATCTGAATTGTAACACTATAAGCTACCTGTCTCTTCAGGCAAGGATGTTTCTGAG